CTTCAAACTATACTATAAGGCTGTAGTGTTCTAAACCAGCATGGTACTGGTACAAGGGCAGACAAATGGATCAATGAAACAGAATAGAGATCCACAAATAAACCCCAATACCTACAACCAACTAATCTTCAACAAAGCAGACAAAAACATACACTGGGGAAAGGACACCCTGTTGAGTAAAGGATACTGGGAAAATTGGATAGCCATGTGCAGAAAATGAAACTATATCCCTATCTCTCACCATATAGAAAATGTAACTCAAGATGAATTAAAGACCTAAATACCAGACCCGAAACCATAAAATTCCTACAAGAAAACCTAGGAAAAACTTTTCTGGACATTGGCCTAGGTAAGCAATGAGAAATTTATTGCTATTTCATTGCTGGTCTATTCTAGTCAACTTCCTCATTACCCTCAATTTGTTGATCTTTTTGTGCTTGCTCCCCCTTCCACTTTCTCTCTTTCCATAGTTAAGTCACATTTGTTAGAAAAAGCTACTCTGCCTCATAGATTTTATGCACCTTGACTGTAGATCATATAAGAATTCCTTTTAGGGCAACCCCTTCTAGTCCCCTCCCACTGTGGGAGCTTTTCTGTTCTCTCAACAAATCCTGCTTTCTAAAAAAAATAATAATAATAACAATAATAAAGTCCCTTTTAGAGCCAGAAGTCTAATAATAATAATAATAATAACAATAATAATAAAGAATCCCTTTTAGAGCCAGAAGTGAGTTAAGCTATCACTTATTCCAAAATGTTGCCCTCGGGAGAGGGACGCCTAAATCATTTACAAAAGGTCATTTACCTATGTTTAATAATCTGAAGAAATAGATGTTCAGCCTCTTTGGTGGCTTGTTTTAGTATTTATCAGTGATTCTTACTGGTGTCTCTGGTAGAATGCAGAAGTGAGGGAGGAGAGATGAGTAAGGCATGAGTGCTATTTTTTCAGAAATAAATAGGATGGAGGTGGTTAAAGGAAGCCGATGGGCTACAAAGAAAATTCACTGGATTTGAGCTAAAAGTTTATGTGAAGTAGAAGCAAGTAAGGAATGCAACGAAGATGAGGCAGGACTGTGAGCTTGTGTAGAATAGAGGTAGAGGATGGTCTTATATTTACTGTCTTTATCATCTCTTTAATACTAATAATTATTTTCTCCAGTGTTCTAAAGGAAAAAATTTTAAGTGTTAGAAAATGATTTTTTTTCTTTCCACTTGATAAATCTTAGAGTTAGAAGCAATATATGCTCAGCTCAAGGAAGAGTCTGTACAAGAGAGGATTAATGAAATTGAAAGTATTGTTAGGTCTAAAGTTGTGAGATTCACTCATTGGCCCATACCATCTGTGTGAGTTTTCTTGTATTTGTGTGTGTTTTGAGCAGGGAAAGATTGAGAGAGCGGGTAAATGATGGCCATCATTACACTGAATAAATCCCCAAACAGAAGCATTAGGTAGCATTATTGGTTGTCTTTAAAAAGTCAGATTGACAGAATAGCTAGCCAGTAGAATTTATCCATTAGTCAATTTACCCTATTCAAAAAGTTGATTTATAAAGAAGTTATTGCCATTTTCTCCTGTTGGAGTTTGTTTTTTTTTTCAATTTGAAATTTATTTCAAAATGATGGTTGAATTTCAATTTGGTGATTACTTAGGAACTAATAAAAAAAAGGAAATACATGGAATATAAGTTTCTTTTAGTTATTTCACAAAATCAAGTTCCCTTTTACCTAGCCTGCAACCTACATTACAGAAAAAATAAAGAGCTTTACCTCAAAAGAGAGAATAGATATTGAAAAAGATGTAGTGTTTTCATAATGCTGTTTCAAATACAAGTTTCTTAGGAATTTTGGGGTATTATTATTATATGCTATGAAATAAAACTATGCTGTAATTATTTTGATTTTGTTAAATAAAACATAAGTCTAGTTTTACCATCAAGTATTTTAGATTGTTATGCCAGAATTCAATGTATTTAAGTTAGATATTAGGGATTTACAGTTTACTTTGCCTCCTTGCTTAACCATTTTATAGATTGTTTTTTGCAAATGTAAAAACCTTTTACAATAGAAAATTTCAAGGAAAAAAACTAAGTAAGGAGAATTGTAATTGCTCAGCTTCAACAATTATCAACTAGTGACCAGTCTTTTTTTAATCTTACAAATTTATTTTTAGGTTAATATCACTTCCAAATGCTCTAACATTTCACACTAAAAAAGATTTTATAAATTTGATTGACTAGATGGAACCTTTTTTCTCAAAAGGAAAAAGTTACTTTGTATTACATAATAACTTCATTTAGGAAAGATTCTTTGACCATATCCCAAGATATATTATTTCTGAGATTGACCATGTGAAAGTATAATCATACTTTTTGTTCTTTTATCACTTATTAAAGGCAAAGATTGTTTCATGGACTTAACAAACTTAAATATAATTTTAAGGATAATGTAACACCAACCAAATCTATAAATATATAGCAACTTACCTCTGCTGTCGTCTTTTGTTTGAGTCTGGTGTGCTAAAGAAATTTATTCCGTTTCTTCTACACCATTAAAAAAAAGTGTCATATGATTGCATTTCACTTTGTTTTAACCTTTGTACCCAATGAATGGTGATTTAAAAAAAAAGTTAGACTTCCTTAGCAAAAGATTGACTAGAAGAATAATTTCTTAAAGTCATCTTTGACTTTTTTGGCATGACAAATGAGGCCGTTTCTATTACCTTTGCGTTTCTTAATTACTCTTAAAAAATGTATTCAAATATTAACAATTTTCCTACTGATTTAAAGTTTATAATATTGAGAATGCATAGTTGTGTTTTTTTTTTTTTCAGGTTCTATGTTCAGTTTGAATTTCTTTTTTTTTTTATTATGAAGTTGTGGGGTACAGTTAAGGGTTAGGTATACAATTGCGTTTCATTCTGGCACCCTGAGAATGCATAGTTTTGAAAGATCTATTGTTGCTAAAGTAATTTGTGTGGGTCCTGAAGGTATTTGTGCTTAGAGAGATTCAAATTGAAAAGATACCTCCAAGTTTTGTATTACATTGGGCTTCAACTTTGTTATTATTTTTATGACACCATCATTCATGGTTTTACTGCCAAGTTATAATAGGAGCAAAGTTCTCAAAGCATAAAGACCTGACACTTAAACATCATATGCCCTTTAGAAAATTAGATACCTTCCTTATGCTGTAATTTCTCCTCTGAGATGGAATACTGTACACACTCGTTCTTATCTAACTATAGTAGACATAGTAGGAAGAAATGTTGGTAGAGAATGATCAAGTTTAGACTGGGTTAGTTCCAAAAGATTAACTCTTTTGAGCCTTAGTATCCTGAATCTATGAAATAAAGAGATGGAAATAAATGGCACTTGCTGCTTGAAAATTCCACGAGCTTCTCTACCCATACAAGTCTTAGCAGAAGCAAGCACATGTGTTCTACTGTAGTAATTGAGGTTCAGAGTGAAGCTGTCACCCCCTGCCCAAGAGTGAGATTAAAATAAAAGGATTCCACGTTGTCTATTTTATTATGTTCATCTTTTATTTGGTATTATGAGATGTTGTTTGTAGGGAAATTTCTGAGTTTAGATGATTTGTTCTATAATAGAATATGATGGTATGGGTGTGTGGGGGCAATATGTGGATCTATAGGGCTTAGCTGGTAATTGTGAAAACTGTAGAAGCTGATATCTACACTTGAAAGAGAGTAAATAGTGATGAATTAGTCAGATTTTGAGACCCAAAATAGAAATTTATGATCTTGGGACTGGAAATGTATGTTCAGTCAAGCTTTTTATAACTAAATCTTGAAAAGTTGACATCTCATCTATTTTTTTTTCCAGAATTTGTCTTTACCCTATCAGTAATTGACCTTGCCTAGGAAATAAGTGGCACATTGCTGATATTTCTTGTGCTTGTATGATTAATATGATTTCTTCTAACTTACTATTACTGCTTCAATATGATTACATTTGTAATGTTTCAGTTATGTTTTCAGGGAAATTAGCTTATTTTACAGTGCTAAGATAGCAATAATTTGTGAAATAGCAATTTTAGCTAAAGCAGTAGGTAAAAAGGACTTTAAGCAAACATATTAATCTAAAGCTATGATTTTTTTAATATGTAGGGTATAATTCAAGGTTAGGTATACAAATATTCATTATGCAGGTACCCTTGCTAATGAGGTGTGCCTCCCTCTCACCTGGCAGTTTCCCACTACTGCCAATCCCGCTCCCACCCTCCCCTGGCAGTTTTCCACTACTTCCAATCCTTTTAAAAACTATACTTTTTTAGCTGGGCTCAGTGGTTCAGCCTGTAATCCTGTGCCTTGGGAGGCTGAGGTGAGTGGATTGCCTGAGACTGTGGGTTCGAGACCTGTCTGGGCAATTTGGTGAGACCTCATCTCTACAATAAAAATCAAAAAATTAGCCGGGTGTGGTAGTGCGCGCCTGTAATTCCAGCTACTTTGAAAGGCTGAGGCGGAAGGATCGCCAGAGTCCAGCAGGTCGAGGCTGCAGTGGCCGGGAGTGGCCACTGCACTCCAGTCTGGGCGACAGAGTGAGACTCCAACTCAAAAAAAAAAATAAAAAATAAAACTATACTTTTTTTTTTTTAATTGGAGTCTTACTCTGTCACCCAGGTTGAAGTGCAGTGGCACACTCACGGCCACCCCAGTGTCAACCAAAGCTATAATTTTTTAAAAGCTAGATTGCACTATAGGTCTCTCTGTTCCCCAGTTCAGAGTTGTGTTGTATGATTCACATGGCAAATGTCAATACAGTATTTTATTTGGTCAAAGATTTCTTTGGCCAAAGATGTTTGAAAACCACAGTTCTGAAACCCAACTGTCTTATTTGCCTTTTGAGAGTAAGATAACACAAAGTATAAATACATCTTCATATGTACAAGGAGTTAAGGATTTTTTATGATCATCTTTGTTAATTCTTTGTAAAGTAAAATGGAGGACAGTAGTCAGGAATATTACATGCTTTTGATTTCAGGAAAGAAAAAGAGATTAGAAGTGTAGAAGAAGAAATTGAACAGGAAAAACAAGCAGCAGATGGCATTATCAAAAATATGTCTCCTGAAAAACAAAAGAAGTACATAGAGATGAAAACCACAAATGAGAAATTATTGCAGGTAATATTTTTAATTTTTTTTATTATAAAGATGTGGGGTACAAGTCAGGATTAGGTACATATATAGTTTATGTGCAGGTGAAATTTGGGCCCCCAACTGGTTCTCACTTCCCCTGGTGTAGGGTCAGGTACCCTTAGTGATTTTAAGTGCCCCCCTTCTCCCCCTGGCAGTATCCCACTATGGCTGATCCCTCTCTCATAGTGTTGTAATAAATGTTCAGGACCCACTTATAAGTGAGAACATGTGGTATTTAGTTCTTTGTTGCAGATAATATTAACTACTATACCATATAGCAGTCTTGCTACTAAAAATATAGTTTAAAGATTGGCAGCATCAGCTTGCCTGAGAGCTTGACTACACCTCCTGATCAGAGCTTTCATTTTATTAAGGCCCCCAGTGGATTCATGGGACATTCAAATTTGAGAAGTGCTTATCTAGAAAACTTGATTTTCTTAAGCTGCTTGATGACCTAGCTTTTACTATAATTATTTTTTGCTCAATTTTTTATTCTTTATTTGTGCATGTCATAAAGAAACATGAAAACACTTGCATTTTTATGAACTTATAATGGAAACATTAAAAGGCCTCATAATCCAGAATCATATGGATATTTACTTACTTTTTTTTGAGTCAGGATCTCACTCCAGGCTGGAGTGTTGTCCAGGCTGGAGTGCAGTGACATGATCATGATTCACTGCAGCCTCAACATCCTGGACTCAAGGAATCCTTCTTCAGCCTGCTGCATAGTTGGGACTGCAGATGTGCACTACCATGCCTGGATAGTTTTTCTTATTTTATTTTATTTTTTTGGTACTGGTCTCAAACTCCTAGTCTCAAGCAATCCCCTTGCTTCAGCCTCTCAAAGCTTTGGGATTACAAACATGAGCCACTGCACTTGGCCTGATACTTTCTTTTCTTTTCCTTTCCACTTAATAAGCAGCCAAACTTTTATCTGCTTGTTCTCTGATTTGAATGATTATTGTCCTCTAGTCTTATTGCTTAAATATCCATTTTTAAAAATTAAATTGTTTTTATTGATATATAATAATTTAAATAATTATGAAGTACATGTGGTATTTGGATACATGCATACAATGTATAATGATCAAATCAGAATAATTGCTATCCATCACTTCAAATATTTATCATTGTGCTAGGAACATTTTGGATCAAGCTATTTTGAAATATGCAATAAATCAGTATTAACTATAGTCACCCTGCTGTATTGCCAAACACTAGAATTTATTCCTTCTACCTAGTTGTATGTTTGAACCCATTAACCAATCTCTCTTCATCTCCTCCCAACCCCCTTCTCAGCCTCTGGTAACCATCATTCTACTTTCTACCTCCATGAAATTAACTTTTCTAGCTCCCACATATGAATGAGAACATGTGATATTAAATAAGCAATTTTGGTGACTGAAGAGAAGTTACTGAGATTCCTACCAATGTTCAGTCATAATGGTGTTCTTTCATGCCTAGATGGCCCTTAACTAAAGAGTAAGCAGAGTTAGACCCCCTAAATGCCAATAATGATTACAGATTTAGTTTCTCAGACATTCCTTTACTGATAATTCAGTATAACTTTTTATTTTAGACAAGATTTATAAGATTTAATGAGGCATTGAAGAAAGCATTATAGAAATGCCAAAATGCTGCCCCCAAAATAGTTAATCTTGTATAGAGATTATGAATGAGTAATCAGTTTAAGAGTCTTCTCCTAGGAATGAACCATGTTTGTGTGTGTGTGTGTGTGTGTGTGTGTGTGTGTGTTTATGCATGTATAGTAGAGGTTTGGGCCATAAGAGAAATTAAACAAGCTATATGAAAACAGGGTTAAAAATCAAAATTAAAAATCATAACTCTAAACAATGACATAATTGACTTGAAAGCTTCCGATATTTGATATTCTCAGAACACAGCAATGATTCGCTGTGAAAAGGTCTATCTACCTTTGAGAACCTCGTGATGTATTTTTGAAGGTACATGGCAAGGTTTTTTGGAGTAATGAAAGAAGTTTGCAAAAATATAAGTAATGAAATGTTAACAAATTCTAGTCAGAATGCAAGATACCAGTTGAAGATGTATACAAAATTTATTTTGTCACTTCCATATTTGAAATGTTGAGAAATGGAGAAGCAAATTATGTTTAATGTAATTTGTGTTTATATTTGTTTTTTTGGGGGGAAACCCTTAGGAATTAGATGCACTTCAGCAACAACTGGATTCTCTGAACATGAAAAAAGAGAACCTGGAAACTGTAAGTATAAAATCGACTAAGGGTTCTCATACTACTCAGCTACAAAAGATAATTCAGCCAAATATATTAATGAAACTTATGTAAGTACATAGTTATTTGGCAGTTTACTAGCAGGAGTTTAATACTTTTCCCATTCTGGATCACAAAGATCCCAGTCTAATAAGAAATTAGATTCAATTATTGAGTACCTATTGTGTATAAAACAAATCATTCTCCCCTACTGGGGCATGCAATATAAACACATACACAAGAGACTAAAAACAAATGAAGAGGAAGGGAGAGGACTTCATCACTTTAAGGATGTAAAAGCTTTCATTTGTTTTCTTGTTAGTTTTTTAAAGCAATTATTTATTTATTTATTTATTTTCATTTTTAAAAAATTTTAATCAATTTTTAAAAATGATATTGTGGGGTACAGTTAAGGGTTAGGTATACAAATATGCTCCCTTCAGGCACCCTTGTTTATAAGAGGTGTCTCCCCATCCCCAGACATTTACTACCATTAATCCCATCTCCCTTCCCCTCCCACCCCCATAGTTTCCCACCACAGTCAGTCATTTTCTTATAGTATTTCGTTGGATGTTCAAGGTCCACTATATGAGTAAGAACATGTGATACTCAGATCTTTGTTTCTGTGAGAGATCAGTCAGTATTATAGACTCTAGTTCCATCCAGGTTGCTGCAAAATTCATGATTTTGTTCTTTTTTATGGCTGCGTAGTATTCCATCGTGTATATGTACCACATTTTTTAAATCCAGTCCTCTTTTGATGGACAGCATGGTTGCTTCCAGGTCCTTGCTATTGTGAACAGTGCTGCGATAAACATACATGTGCAGGTATCTTTTTTATAGAGTGATTTGAGTTCTTCAGGGTATATTCCCAGTAGGGGGATTGTGGGATCATATGGGAGGTCAATATTTAGAGCTTTTAGGAATCGCCATACTGTTTTCCACAGAGGTTGCACTAGTTTGCACTCCCACCAACAGTGTAGAAGTGTTCCCTTTTTGCCACAGCCTCTCCAGCAACTGTTATTTTTTGAGTTATTGATAATTGCCATTCTGACTGGAGTTAGGTGGTATCTCAGTGTGGTTTTGGTTTGCATCTCCCTGCTGATTAGTGAGGTTGAACATTTTTTCATGTGTCTGTTGGCTGCTCGGATGTCTTTCTTTGAGAAGTATCTGTTCATATCTTTTGCCCATTTTATAATGGGGTTGTTTGTTTTTTTCTTTTCAGCACATTTGAGTTCCTTGTAGATCCAAGATGTTAAGCCTTTGTCAGACCTGGAGTTGGCAAATCCTTTTCCCCAGTCTGTAGGCTGTCTCCCTACTCTCTTGATGGTTTCTTTGGCTTTGCAGAAGCTTGTCAGTTTAATAAGGTCCCACTTGTCTATCTTCTCTGTTATGGCCTGTGGGTTTCAGGTTTTGTTCAGGAATTGGATGCCAGTTCCAATTTCCATGAGGGTATGTCCTTCATTTTCTAAGGTTCTTATGGTTTGAGGTTTTACATTTAGGTCTCTGATCCATTTAGAGTTAACCTTTGTGCATGGGGATAGATAGGGGTCCTGTTTCAATCTTCTGCATGTGGTCAGCCAGTTTTCCCAGCACCATTTACTGAATAGGTTCTCCTCTTCCCAGTGGTAGGTGGTGGAGGCTTAGTCGAAGATGAGTTGGTTGAAAAATTGAGGTTTTGCTTCTAGAATCTCAATTCTATTCCATTGGTCTATATGCCTGTTCCTGTACCAATACCAAGCTGTTTTGATGATTATAGCTTTATAGTAAAGTTTGAAGTCTGGTAATGTGATACCACCTGCTTTGTTTTTTTTTGCTGAGGATTGTTCTGGCTATTCTTGGTCATTTGTGTTTCCATATGAATTCCTGTGTTGTTTTTTCTAGGTCTGAGAAAAATGTTGCTGGTAATTTGATGGGTATTGCATTAAATCTGTAGATTGCCTTAGGTAAGATGGACATCTTCACAATGTTAATTCTTCCAATCCATGAGCATGGGATATTTTTCCACTTGTTTGTGTCATCTTTGATTTCATTGAGCAGTGTTTTGTAGTTTTCATTTTAAAGGTCTTTCATGTTTCTGGTTAGGAAGATGCCAAGGTATTTCATTTTTTTTGTGGCTATTGTGAATGGGATTGTGGTTTTTATTTGAGTTTCTGTTTGTTTATTATTGGTGTAAAGAAATGCGATTGTCTTTTGCACATTTATTTTATATCCTGAGACTCTGCCAAAGTCCTTTATCAGTGTAAGGAGGTTTTTGACAGATTCTCTTGGGTTTTCAAGGTACACAATCATGTCATCTGCAAAGAGAGATAGCTTGACTTCCTCTTTTCCTATTTGAATACCCCTGATTGCCTTCTCTTCTCTGATTGCTCTAGCCAGGACTTCCAATACTATATTGAACAGGAGGGGTGAGAGTGGGCATCCTTGTCTTGTTCCTGTTTTCAGGGGAAATGGTTCCAGTTTTTGTCCATTTAGGAGTATGCTGGCTGTGGGTTTCTTGTAGATGGCTTTTAGTATTTTGAGGTATGTTTCCCGTATGCCTAGGTGTTTGAGGGTTTTTATCAAGAAGGGATGCTGTATTTTATCAAAAGCTTTTTCTGCATCTAATGATATAATCATGTGGTTTTTGTTTTGACGTCTGTTGATGTATTTAATTACATTTATGGTTTTACGAATGTTGAACCAGCCTTGCATCCCAGGAATGAAGCCTACTTGGTCATGATGAATGATTTTTGAGATGTGTTGTTGAATCTGGTTCGCTAGGATCTTGTTGAGAATTTTAGCATCTATGTTCATCAAAGATATTGGCCTGTAGTTCTCTTTCTTTGTTGGGTCTTTACCTGGCTTGGGTATCAATGTGATGTTGGCATCGTAAAATGATTTGGGGAGAGTTCTATCTTTCTCAATCACCTGGAATACCTCAGTAGGATTGGTATCAGCTCCTCCTTAAATGTCTTGTAGAATTCTGCTGGAAAGCCATCTGGTCCAGGGCTTTTTTTTGTAGGTAGTTTTCTTATTATGTGGTCAATTTCCTTGATTGTTATTGGTCTATTAGGGCCTCAATTTCTTCTTGTTTCAACCTAGGCAGGTTGTGTGATGACAGAAAATCCTCCATTTCATAAAGGTTTTCAAGTTTGTTTCCATACAAGTGTACATAGTAGTCTCTAATGATCTTTTGTATTTCTTCAGAATCAGATGTGACTTCATCTTTTGTGTTTCTGATTGTGTTTATTTGGGCTTTTTCTCTCTTTTTCTTGGTCAGTCTAGCTAGGGGACCATCGATCTTGTTTATCCTTTTGAAGAACCAACTTTTTGCTTCATTGATTTTTTTTGTATTATCTTTTTGTCTTCTATGTCTGGATTTGGGCTTTTATTTTGGTGACCTGGATTCTTCTGCTGAAATTAGGGTTTTTGTGATCTTGCTTTTCCAGCTTCCTTAGGTGGCTTCTTAGACTGTTAATTTGTGATCCTTCCATTTTCTTCATGTGCATTTGTAGGGATATAAATTCCCCTCTTTCTACAGCTTTCATGGTGTCCCAGAGATTTTGGTAAGATGTTTCTTCATTTTCGTTTGTTTCCAGGTATCTTTTAATCTCTGTTTTGATTTCATCATTGACCCAGGAGTTGTTTAGCATCATGCTGTTTAGTGTCCGTGTTTTTGTGGGTTTTGGGGGGACCTTGTTGGTGTTAATGTTTTTTTTATTCCACTGTGGTCTGAGAAGGTGCATGGTAAAATTTCAGTCCTTTTAAATTTGCTCTTGCTTGACTTATGGCCAAGTATGTGGTCGATCTTAGAGTACATTCCATGTGGTGATGAGTAGAATGTGTGTTCTGTGGTCTTTGGACGGAGGGTTCTGTAGGTATCAATTAAGTCCATTTGATCAAGAGTCACAGTGAGGTTCCAGATCTTGTTGCTGATTTTTTGTCCTGATGATCTGTCTAGGGTTGTGAGTGGGGTATAAAGTCCCCAGCTATGATGGTATTGGAGTCGATATCTTTTTTTAGTTTACCTAGGAGCTGCCTTATGAAAGTTGCTGCTCCTATGTTCGGTGCATATATGTTTAGGACGAATATTTCTTGTTGATGGATTGAACCTTTTATCATTATGTAGTGGCCTTCTGTATCTTTTTTAATTTTTGATAGCTTAAAGGGTATTTTGTCTGAGATTAAGATCATGACACCTCCTTTCTTTTGTGTTTCATTCGCCTGAAAATTTGTTTCCCATCCTCTTCCTTTGAGTCCTTCCTGTGAGTGTCCTTTCTAGTGAGGTGAGTCTCTTGAAGGCAATAGATTGTTGCCTGGTGATGTTTTATCCATTTTGTCATTCTATGTCTTTTCAGTGGTGCATTTGGTCCGTTCACATTCAAACTAATTATTGAGATGTGAGAGTTGATCCCTATCATAATGTTCTTACAGAGTTGTTGTTCTTCCTATTTGTGTGTTGTCTTTCTTTTGGTTTTAGAGTTGGATCATGTGTGTTTTTAATCTTTTGCCTGTACTCTTGTGAAGAATGTTGTTGTTCTTTTTTCCTTTTTTTCTGTGTTCAATACTTTCTTAAGTGTTTCTTGTCTGGTGGTCTGGTGGCAGCGTAGGTTCTTCGGGATTGGATATCTGGGAAAGATTTCAGTTCCCCCTCACTGATGAAGCTTAGCTGGCTGGGTAGGTTATTCTCGGCTGAAATTGTTTATCTTTTAGAACTTTGAGGATAGGGCTCCAAACTCTCTTACCCTGGAGGGTTTCTGTAGATAAATCTGCTGCTATTCTAATTGGTCTTCCCTAGTAGGTAGTCTGACCTTTTCCTCTTGCAGCCTTTAGGATTTTTTCTTTTATACCTACTTTGTTTAGGCGAATTATTATATGCCTGGGAGTTGGTCTTCTCATTTGTTGTCTTGCAGGGGTTCTCTGAATCTCTTTTGTTTGAATTTTTTCATCCTTGATGAGATGAGGGAAGTTTTCTTGAATGATTTCATGAAATATTTGTTCCAGTGTGA